TAGTAGTAGTGTCAATTCGTAGTAGAGTATAGTATAGTAGTAGTAGTAATGGTTAGTGGTGGTGGTGGTGGAGTGGTAGTAGGTGGATTAGTAAGTAGTAAATAATATAATGTAAGTAGTAGTAGTAAGTGGTCCGAGTATCGTATTAGTAGTAGTAGTAGTAGTAGTAGTAAGTAGTAGTAGTAAGTATAAGTAGTATTACGAGTAGTAGTAGTCGTAGTAGTGGTGTAGTAGTAGTAGTAGTTATTAGGTAGTAGTAGGTCGTAGTAAAGTCAGTATTAGTAGTAGTAGTAGAAGAAGTAGTAGTATCGTAGTAGTAAAGGAGTAGTAGTAGTGGTAGTCGTAGTTGAAGTAGTAGTAGTCAGTAGTAGTAGTAAGTAGTAGTGGCATAATAAATAGTGTAGCTCCCGTAGTAGTAATGATGAGTAGTAGTATAGTAGTAAGTAGTAGTGTGGCAGTAGTAGTAGTAAGTAAAGTAGTATTAGTAGTAGTAGTAATAGTAGTAGTAATAGTAGTAGTCTAGTAGTCTAGAAGTCTGTAGTAGTAGTCGTAGCAGTGCAGTAGTAGTACTAGAGTAGTAGTAGTAGTATAGTTAGTAGTAGTTCGTAGAAGTAGTATAGTAGTAGTAGTACAGAAAGTACAAAATAAACAAAAAAGTAAAAGTAGTAGTAGTAGTAGTAGTAGTAGTAGTAGTAGTAGTAGTGTAGTTAGTAGTAATATTAGTAGTAGTAGTCGTCGTCGTCGTCGTAGTAGTAGTAGTAGTAGTAGTGGTAGTAGTAGTAGTAGTAGTAGTAGTAGTAGTAGTAGTAGTAGTCGTAGTCGTAGTCGTAGTCGTAGTCGTAGTAGTAGTCGTCGTAGTATTCGTGGTAGTCGTAGTCGTAGTAGTAGTAGTCGTAGTAGTAGTAGTAGTAGTAGTAGTAGTAGTAGTAGTAGTAGTAGTAGTAGTAGTATTGGTAGCAGCAGCAGCAGTAGTCGTAGTAGTCGTCGCGGTAGTAGTAGTAGTAGTAGTAGTAGTAGTAGTAGTAGTAGTAGCAGTAATAGGTAGTAGTAGTAGTAGTAGTAGTAGTAGTAGTAGTAGTAGTAGTAGTAGTAGTAGTAGTAGTAGTAGTAGTAGTAGTAGTAGTAGTAGTAGTAGTAGTAGTAGTAGTAGTAGTAGTAGTAGTAGTAGTAGTAGTAGTAGTAGTAGTAGTAGTAGTAGTAGTAGTAGTAGTAGTAGTAGTAGTAGTAGTAGCAGCAGTAGTAGTAGTTGATTTATTGGCGTCTTGTTCGTAGCAGTTGTTGTCGTAGGCGTCGTCGTCGTCTCTGTCTTCGTCGTCGTCTTTGTCGTCGTCGTCGTCATTATCGTGGTCGTTCTCGATGTAGGAGCTGTATCGGCAAACTGTTCTTTCGCAGCGTGAGAGCTGCTTGGTGTAACTTTGGTCGTTCCCATGCCATTTCATTATTTCTGCTCGTCCTCTCCTGCGCATGGCTTGTGGCACGACGGTCGAGCTGTCACAGAGCGAACATCACAGCAGGCATCTTGCTACTTTTTGTCCACAGAAAAACAAAAGGTGATCAGGATAAGGAGGAGGAGGACCAGAATGTGGAGGAAGAAGAGCAGGACGATGACGCGACTTGGGACCGGACTTTATAGGAGTCCGCCGCCGGGTCTGCGATCCCGGTGACCGTCAGCTGCGCGTTCCGGCACGCCCCGCGCCGCCCTTTCGCTGCCCCAGGTAGCCAGGGGCCGGGCCCTCCTTCCGCCCGCTCCGCCTCCTGCGGCCTTGTCCTCTTGTTCTTTCCCGTCTTCTGAGAACTGCCAATTGCATTTTAGGCTCAGGGCTCGCCTCCTGGCGGGACGAGGGCCCACGTGATCGAGCCTTCGTTTTTTCCACAGAAAGCGCTGTGCCCCTTCTCGCCCAGCAGGTAGTATTTCTGCTGGGCGACGATGCAGACAGCCCCTTCGCATGAGGAAGGGCGGAATCGGTTCCGTGTGCTCCGCCTGTCACAGGGCCTCCTGGCGAGCCTCGGGGAGACCTCTTCGGGCTTCCTGGGAGCCTGGGCGAGCCGCTGGACTCCTGAAAGGTTGATGGCCCCTTTGTGGGATTAATCGCAGCGTCTGGGTGCGTGCTCTGGGGCCCTCTTGGAAACGCCTTGGGGCACTCGTGGGGTATGCTTGGCCATGTTGGGAGCGCGTTGGCCAGTCGTGGGGTGGTCAAGGGCGCTGGGAAGGCAAATGCTGGCGACGCGGGGGGGTCGCCTTTCTTCCAGAGCACTTCGAAGCAGCCTTGAGTAACGCAAAGCGAGGCAACGATGGACATTGCTTTGGCATTGCTTGGCGCTGGTATGTGCTGCTTGGCGTTGCTCTGCTTTGTTTGGCATTGCTTGGTGCTGCTTGGCGTTGCTCGGCATCTGGCATTTCTTGGCGTTGCTTGGAATTGTTTGGCATGGCATGCCATAGGAAGGCGAGGAAGGCGAGGAAGAAGACCAGTGAACCGAGGAACGCCGGTACTGGGGAGCC